TAATTTTACTAATAAAATGATATATATATATATATATATATATATACAAAAATAATAATAAAGGGCATATATATATACTATGTATTAATAAATTCATATAATCTATAGTATTGTCTACATTAATCATTATTTTATTTCACAAGATTCAACATTCATAAGACTCATTTATTTACTGACGTTTAGCAAATTGTATCTGATCAACAGCGCTACTAGTCTTTTAAAATGAAATGAAAAAGAGAAGTCGAAAAAATACTTACGTTCTGTGTTTGGTAAATTTCCCATTGATGTGACCAGACCCATTGCAACCTCTAGTAGGACAACTGAAATGACAATTTGTCGGGTCATTTATTAAATTTGTACAATAGCTACGTTACTATGAATGGGCAGAACTAAATAATGCATGAAGTATGAGCTATATCAGATAATATAAGAGAAGGTATTACCAAATAATTTATATATTATCAATTATTTACATCAAATCAATAATTTAAACATTATCAATATCAGTATAAAATGACTATTATGAAATATATAAACTGTCGGACTTCTGTTTAACGAACTTCCATTTTGCGAAGTTCTCTATTTCGCAATTTTTTTGGAGGAACCAAGAACATTTTGGAAATTTTTTCTTAAAAGAACTTCCAAATAGCGAAGTGAATTTTCTATTTAACGGAACTTTTCCTTGAGATCCACTTTCCCTATTTCTTAAAATATTTTAGAACATCTTAAACTTGTTAACGTATTTTACGGGGGAAACGACCTTGAATTGATTTTCGAAGCCACTTAATTCTTAGAGAAAGCAGTAAAATCACTTTCCCTTTTTGTTTGCATTTCAAACGAAAAACACAGACAAAAGTAATGAATTTTATCAGAATACATTTACATTTAAGAACGTATGAGATAATGTATGTTTAAAATTACTTTTATAAGAAATGTGACTATAATTTAGTAGATAAATTTAGCGTTTTTAGTTGAAAATGTATGTAGCATGATAGTGTAAAACTGGATAATGCTTTGCTCTATTCTTGCTTTCTATGCAGATTTATTTCATGGTTAAGAATTATAAAATAAATAGTAGATGCTAGTTTAGAAGATAAAGGTGTATCAATTGCTTTTTTGATTATGTCTAGTGTTTATGAATTTAAAACCTGTTTTGTGTTGTTTATGTATCTCAAAAAGTGATTTTCTATTTAACGAATTTTCCATATAACGAACTTATTTTTGGGATTAAGCGACTGCGTTAAATAGAGATCCGACCATATTATTAACAATTAATATTAAATAATTAATGTATAATTAATATATTATCAGACTTTTTAAATATAATTGAAAAATTTACAAGCTATTTTATATATCAAACAATTCATATGTTATTCCTAAATTATCAAATTATTTATTGTATCAGATTATAGGAATCAGATTATAGGTTTAGAAGATAAAGGTGCATCGATTGCTTTTTTAATTATGTCTAGTGTTTATGAATTTATAACCTGTCTTGTGTTGTTTAAGTATCTCAAAAAGTGATTTTCTATTTAACGAATTTTCCATATAACGAACTTATTTTTGAGATTAGGCGACTGCGTTAAATGGAGATCCGACCGTATTATTAACAATTAATGTTAAATAATTGATGTATAATTAATATATTATCAGACTTTTTAAATATAATTGAAAAATTTACAAGCTATTTTATATATCAAACAATTCATATGTTATTCCTAAATTATCAAATTATTTATTGTATCAGATTATAGGAATCAGATTATAGGTTTAGAAGATAAAGGTGCATCGATTGCTTTTTTAATTATGTCTAGTGTTTATGAATTTATAACCTGTCTTGTGTTGTTTAAGTATCTCAAAAAGTGATTTTCTATTTAACGAATTTTCCATATAACGAACTTATTTTTGAGATTAGGCGACTGCGTTAAATGGAGATCCGACCGTATTATTAACAATTAATGTTAAATAATTGATGTATAATTAATATATTATCAGACTTTTTAAATATAATTGAAAAATTTACAAGCTATTTTATATATCAAACAATTCATATGTTATTCCTAAATTATCAAATTATTTATTGTATCAGATTATAGGAATCAGATTATAGGTTTAGAAGATAAAGGTGCATCGATTGCTTTTTTAATTATGTCTAGTGTTTATGAATTTATAACCTGTCTTGTGTTGTTTAAGTATCTCAAAAAGTGATTTTCTATTTAACGAATTTTCCATATAACGAANCTTGGTACCAGATACCTCAGACTACCTATCAGCACCTTGTGGAATCAATGCCACTCGGGTGCTTGCAGTTTTGAGGGCTAAAGGTGGTCCTACATTTTATTAGTAGGGTGGTCATAATGTAATGGCTCTTCGGTGTATATCCACTTATTATTAATTTGAATTCCTATGTCGAAGGGTTTCTTCTCAAAACCTTGTTATATCAAATTTTTTACGAAATAGAAAATGATTTTTTTTTCTCCAGAAAAATCACAATGTAAGTTTTTTGTAAATCAATTCTTTTCTATTTAATGGATAATTCATTTTCATTTTATTTTTGAAAATAAAATTATAATTGTTTTTAGATTTATAGTAAACTATCATTACAAACATATTTATTCGTAGTCATTCTAATGTTTCATAACCCTACTTTTTAGAGTTATGTTTCAGAATATATTTCTACTTTTTTGAACATAATTCTGAACTTTTAGAGCTCATTTAGTAGAACTCATTCTGAACTTTTAGAACTCGTTCAGAACTCATTTAGTGCTGAACTTGCTATCTCGATTTTTTTTTTTTATCGTCCCTTCAACTTTGAGATATTGAGAGTATATTGTAATTACATTTTATAATTTTACGAATTCAAAAGTCTTGAAAGTAATATTTACCTAATAGCTTCTTGAGATGAGCCTAAAAGAAATATTAAGTTTTAAATTAAAACAATTAAATAATTTTCTAAGAATTCATGTTAAAAACTCATGCTAAACGTTACGCTACAAAGTTGAAAAATCATTAATGTAAAAATGCTATAAAAGTCGCTTAGATCGTTTAGATACATCTTAAAGACTGTTTTTTTTTTAAAAAATTTAAAACTATTAATTTCTTAATATTATAATCATATTAATTATTAAGATAGTAATGAAATGCATTTTGTAACTAAAGTTTTATTTCAGAATCTCTTGACTTTATGATTATATTTAACAATTTAACTAAGTATTACTTTATTGTCATTAAATACGTTAAAAATTAATGTATGTTAAAATGGTATTTTAAAATTGTTAGGAAAATTATGCTAAAATCGTTAATTTGTTTTAACATATTACTTTGTTAAATGATCACTCTAAAAATGCATTTAGGAAAATAATGATGTTTACTTTCAAAATCTCATGATCATTTATTTGGTTAAGGGTAAGGCCAAAATGTTAGAAACCTATTTATGACAGTTTATTTAACAATTTATTTTAAAAGTTTATTTAAATTAAGATATTTAATACTACTTTACCAAAATTCATTTATGTCAAAATACTAAAAACTATTGAGTCAAAAGATTTTAAAAACTATGATAATATACAAAATAATATATTATCATCATTCTAATGTTGCCGTGTTTAATTCTAATGTTACTTTGGATTCTTAGTTTTGTATAGTTCGTCCACCAGGAGTTGGCACTTGGCTCCGCCTTCATCACGTGGCATCCGACGATACTATTTCGCGATATTTGGGAGAACGACGTGAAGAATCCTGAAAAAGGTTGCTATTTGGTGATCGTATGACAAAAATATTTATTTCGCAATCTTTATGTGCATTTTTGTAACATTAAATATTTCATAAATTTCATGATATCTCTCTCTTTTGAGTGAACAGTTTGACCTTTTTTTTGAGACAATTTGCTGCAATATATTTAATTAGCTAGAGTAACGGAATGTATATGAGCCGGGATAATCTGGTCGGTAGGGCGCTGGGCCTATGTCCGAGAGTTCGTGGGTTCGAATCTCACCGGTCGAAGTCTCCCCGTGTAGTAAAGTGACTGATGCACGTTAAATCTGTAGAGTCATAAAAGTCCTCCATGTTCCCATAACAAATCAATATCTCTAGAGGTACTGGATTGGTGATCGATCGTTCTCTGATTCGGATCAAAATTACGCTCTGTGGATGAATGAATGGATGTATGAATGGGTCCACCCTATAAACAGGTACGACGTATGGTGTGGCGGAAGTTGAATTCTTGGCCATAGATGGCGCCACTGGAACAACAAGAACAATCGCACCCCTTCTGCCTAAGCAGGCATACGCCAACAACAACGGAATGTGTACTAGCAGATGATAAAGCGATGTAAGTGACTGAAAATGTTAACGTTTGGCTCACATTAAAGGTTGTCTCAATTTCAAGCGCAAGGATTTTTTACCTCTTACTCCCGCGGCAAAATGAACTCTTCGTCCGAGGAGGTGGGGCCAAGTGCCAACTCCTGGTGAGTGAACTATATTTGGATGGATGTATCCAATTGTTAGAAAATCGGACATTTCTTTTAAAGGTTTAATTATTTAGAAGCATTAAATACTAAAATTTATTTATATTAAATTTCCAAAAAGTATTTGGAAAAATTTTGATGTTTACCTGCAGGACCTCTTGATCTTGTATTTGGACGAGAGTCGTCAACCTTCAAAAAGTAAGTTAAAAAAGTAAGTAAAAGTAAGTGAAAGTAAGTTAAAACGACTATTTTCAATAACTAGCGGAATTATTGCTATAGTGAGCATCTCGTCATAAGCACTCAAGTAGCATTTTTTAAAATTAAATATACACATTTAATTAAAAAAAAAGCAGAGACAAAAATTAAAAAATAAAATAAAGCGCAATTTCAGTTTTTTACGTTATTGATAAAACTGAATATCGATTTCGGTATTATCCAATATGCGATCTACTTGTGAAATGGGCATTTAGTTTTTTAGTGATACTAAAAGATTCTTTAATTTTTCTCTTTTAGTGTCACTACTTGAAACACACATGGCTGATATACCCTAACTTGATGTTTTTCAATCTTTTGCTTACGGCTCCTGATAGCACCTGATATTTTGTACCATCAGTTGTACCAGATCCAAGCAAAATGCTAAGGTTAAGTGCCACTGCCCGGTATACACTATACTAATATTTTTTTTAAGGTTAAGTGCCACTCTGCCCAGTATACCCTGCACTCAGGCTTTCTTAAGGATAAAGTGCCACTAGACGACATATTCTATTATACTATGCTTTTGTAGCGCCATCTATCGATTCGAAAAGTAACTAAACAGGTAGATCGCATATTGGGACAATACTTTGACTTCAATAGTAAGCTGTCAAGAAAGGAAATAAGGGCATGATAGATGCATGGTCAACATAAGGTTCATTCTTTTGAAGAGTATGGCAGGTGTACTAAGAATAACATCTATTTTTTCTTGTGTAAGAAGAAGGATTGCTTGGTCGGTAGTTGTCCATTCAATTGCTTTTTAAGGCTTTTGTATAGTTTGTTTACGAAACGAACTCCCCCTTCCACTAAATCTGAGGCCGACTGCTGCGATGGAAGCGCTTTTCATGAAGGGTAGCTTCTCTTCTCTCTAGGGCTAACAGAACAAACCGAGAAAAAGATTACCTTTCTCCGAGCCAAAAACTGTTCTATGCAGTGATTCCACGCGTATTTGAAATAGTTATTCCTCGTTACCTAACGCCTAACGCCACGGGTCCTAACGTCATACCTAACGTCACGGGTCCAAACGAATGGCTAGGGGAGTTCTTACTTACAACAAACTGTAAGAGGTAAATAAGGTAAAATGATGTTTATTTGTACTTTTCTTTAATGAGATCATATATAAATAAAAAGGTCCTTGATTTTGCTCTTTTCAGCATAGTGTTGCATATAACATCAAAAAAAAATATTTTTATCTCCAAAAAAAAATTTGACGTAATTGTGATTTTTAAGTCTTTGGATGCGGACAATTTTTATACCTTTATTATTAGCCTTTTGACGGTGATTTGGAAAGTTGACGCAATAGCGTAATTTTTCGTGATGCTTTTTACATCAAGCCTTAGTAGTGTTAAAATGCTACTTGCAGTTAAACTTGTGTTATAAAATGAAAGAAAGTATTTTAAGGATATAGTTTAAATGCTTCGTTAAAAAAATTTTAAGATCACTTTTTATTATGAAATTTGCTTTTGAGAATAATAATTTTTAAGATATACTGATTTAATTTTACTAATAAAATGCATGCACGCAAAAATTACATCACAATTTTTTTTAAAACTCACCTTGCTCATTTATATCAACTTGAAACCTGAAATGAATGAAAATATATGTATTTTAATCTTTTTGTATTAAAATTACACTTTTATGTAATTTTAATGCATTCAGTTGCATGAAATATTTTATATTGCTAAATATTTATCAAATTAAAAAATAATCACATTGTTTTTAATAAAAAAGACAATTTACATCAAGAAATTTAAATTTACCTCTCTTGATGTTTGTTTTTGGGTCCAGAAAACGATGTTATACTTCAGTCAACATCAGAAAAATCTGTAAAATAAATATTTTTATTAGATAGTTCATAAGCCTTAAATTATTTACATCTTAAGACACATAAGAAACTAATCATTTGGACAATTTCATTTCATTCTATCCTTGTTTAAGCTTTGATTACATCGTTCATATCAGACCCACAATATCTGATTGACAATTATTGCAATGTTCCTGGAATTTTCCGCAGTTGATATTTATCGTTTTATAAAGCCTTTGCTGCATTGTTTTCATTTTGAATAATTTTTAATAATCTCCAAGAGATTAAATAAATGAAAGTTTTACGCACAAAACTAAACAGAAATGAATAGTTTATTTTCAATGAATGAGATTTGTGGACATGTGATACAAAAGTTAATCCTTAGTGGGATACCTGCAAGTGACGTAGTATGGCTATCTCGATCCTGATTGGTTGTTGAAACATGGTATTTGTTTACTTTAGCAACTGTTATTTCCATTCTTTTTCGAGTAAGCCAAGCCCTTCAAGTATCAGTTCTTTTAAGTAACACAGCCTATATTCTGTCACAAATATTCTTTCAGAAAGATTTCATTTCTATCATTACATATTTACACAAAAACAGGCACGAAGTCACGTAGAACATAAACAAACTAATTATGCATCGTAAGTTGCCAGATGCAAAAAATATCACTGTTGCAATAAAATGCATAAACAAATAATAAATCTAATTTAGGTAAAAGAAATATGCGAGAAAGAATTATATTTCAACTAATTCGATGTGCGATACGGCTCTTTTTTTAAACTAACTTATCGTTAATTAACATTCTAAAGGCCTAGTTTCTTAGGACACGACGCCGTCAGCTGGAAATCAGTGCTAACCTCTGATTGGTCCTTTTGTGAGTTTGATAGTGTACGTCATCGAACGCTCATCTTGAACTTGATGACGTATACTATCAAACTCACAAATGGACCAATCAGTGGTTAGCGCTGATTTCCAGCTGACGGCGTCGTGTCCTGAGAAACCAGGTCTTAACTTATTTGAAGAAACTTTGCTCAACTTTAATACGCCATTTTACTGATAAAGATTACCTGGCACTGATATCATAGGACAGATGCGAGGGTATAGTAGATCTTCTTGAAGAGCCAATATCCAATTTTACTTTTATTGTATGCAATATACCCTCCCACCGCTTCATGAGATTGACAGCTGAACAGATTCCTTGACTGCGGGAAGGTATAGACAACAGGTTTTTGAGCCCTGTGTGCGAGGTTTCAGGGTTTCTGTTGTCCTTCGGTTCATTTTTATGAACGACAATGCTGGTGCACAGATAGCCTGACTGACTGATGACCATCTGGAAGGTGAGGATATTCAGCAAATAAAATGGCCAGTCAAATACTCTGACCCTAATCTTACTGAATATGCTTGGCATGCTCTTGGGAAGGCAACTGCAACACGCAATGCCCCATCCAGAATCATTCAAAAAATTAAAAACTGCATCTTGTATGTCTGCCAGAGGCAACCACAAACCATACTGGCCACATAATTTTCACTGCCATTTGAGTCAGAGAAGATGACCTCTTTGAAATTCTTTGCCATATCTTATGCCTGAAAAGCCTTTGCTGAGATGCCTTATTTATTGTTTATACTGCTGAATTGCATTTGAATTATCATTTTGTGCATTTTATTTTCATACAGTAAACTGCATGCATGCCTGATTTCATTTATTCCCCACCAGTTTTTCTCGAGTTTTTGGAAAAATATTTTCCACTCCTTAATTTCGTTCATCAGTGTGGCTCGAATAATTTTTAGCAATTGATAGTATACTGGGTAATTTTTTTATCGTTTCTCATTGTTTTTGATATTAGTTCATGTTTCCAAAATTATTTAAATCGTTAAATATGAAGGCGATCGAAAAAAAAATTGCTCACTAAAAAAGTCCATTGTAATACATTTATGACATTGTAGCTAACAAAACATTCTATTTCTCACCTTAAACCCAGACATTCGTTAAATGTGGATTCCTTGTAATTACTTTCAATTATTTTTAGAATTCGGAGTGTATCGCCAGGGAGTCATTTTCAACGTGTCCGGTGCGATATCATTATTATATATTATGTCTCTGTCCGGTGCGAGTGCTTCTCCCACATTCTGTGTGGTGGGCTTGGAACTGTTGCGAAGTTCACTTTTATGCTATCTCTGCGGTGGTTCCATGCTTGGAAAAGACCCAGCTTGTTTGGGTGGTTGAAGGGGTCAGCTGATTGCAACCGACATTACGCGTTGAGGTTTGGTGTGATGAACTACACAATTGATGAACAACACAATTGAACAACATGTTGAACAACTCAATTTAGATTCAGCACTTAGTTCTAAATTACGGTAGTGTAGTGCATGCATGCAACAGTATAGTCTTCGGTTCATCAACAAGAATGAATACGAGATCGTTAAAAGCTCAAAAGTTAGTGTCGATTTAGTTAAACGTTTTGAGCAGTGATGGCTCAGAGGAGAGAGCGTTCTACTTCCAATGAGGTGAACCGGGTTCGAATCCCAGCGAGGCCTGAGATGAGAATTCCGCATCCGGCTTGCAGTAACCAAACTGCTGATGTGAAATATCCTCAGTGGCGGACGGATCATGGGTTATAGTCTAACCATGGGAAATTCTTGTGGTCTTCCTCTCTATGTAACGCAAATGCTGTATAGTTCCATCAAAAAGTCCTCCACGAAGGCAAATTTCTCTCAATACTTGATCCAGGAGCTCCTTTGCCATCTGGATTAGGTTCACAATTACAAGGATACGGAATTGAACATTAGTAGACGTAAACTCAAAAGGTCGGATGTTTAACGAGAGTTATATAAAAAACGTTAGCAACTGAGAAATGCAAAATCCTTCGGCTATAAACTCATTTCACACTTTAAAATGTCACTGATGTCTCAAAGCTTTAAACCATTTTTATAGAGAATCTATATTGTGACCGCAGCAATTAATTTTACCTGTTGGAAACTTTAGCAGCTAATTTAAAATATTATGATATTATGCATGAAATAATTACAGCTTTAATAATATGTCTATTATTGTATAAATAATATGTCTATTATTTATTGATAACAGTAGAATCTTGAGCAATTGCTGCTCACTGGACTATTCATTGAAAATGATAGATACAGGGAAACGACGAATAAAAAGCATAAAATAATGACTTGCAAATGAATAAAAAATTTTAAAGTAGCAATGGACTTGAAAATTAAGTGAACTTGATGAACTTGAAGAAGTTATAATAAGTATAAACAATTTCAATTAAAGAAACATGCACTTAATGCAAAACTATTTACGATGCAAAAGAAAGATGAATAAGCACATTTATTCATTTAAAATAATTGTAAATTCTGGTCAGACTATGTTTTATTTTTGGCGCCAATAATATGTTTTCGACATTTGCTGCTTATTGTCTGCAATTGTGTGTAAATATAGAAGGTGCCTCAGTGTTTCAAAGGCTCTCAAGCCTCCTGCACTGGTTGTGATTCTATTTCGCCATCTTTTTGCCATTTCTTTTGCCTCCGCAACCATTTCTTGAACTGATAACACAAACTTCTACAATTTTATCAACTGAATCATAAATATTAAGTTTACTGTTTGAGAAGTTTCTTTTCCCACGTGATGCTGATCACTAAGGCCCGGATTTTGATGACATTTGCATTTTTTTTGCATTTTTTGCATTTTTGGACATTTTTTGTCTTTTAGAGCATTTTTTTAGATCTATAGGGCATTTTTCTTTAAATTTTGGGGTGTATTTTGCATTTTAATGCATTTTTTAAAGTTTTCTTTTTAATTTTTTCCAATTTATATTATTTTTTTAAATCAATTTTCATTATTACACTGGCTTCCAAACAATGAAGAAAATCTATAGGATATTAACAGGTGAAGCAAAATCTTTTCAAATTGAAGAAGAATTGTCAGTAAGTGAGACCGTCTTTTTCAAGTACGCACCTATAACATCAGTAGACGTTGAAAGAAGCTTCTGCAGGAATGAAAATTTACTTTCAGACAAGAGACGCTCGTTTACATTTCAAATTATCAAAAAACATTTAATAATCCAATGTAATTCTGATATTTAGTAATATTATGAGATGGAAGTTGTTATATCCATTAAAGTTTCTATACAAAATAAAAATATTTTGGTGTCAATATATTTTCCTTTTTTTGTTATTTTAGGATATAAAACAAATTTTTCAAACTTTAATGAACGTAGAACAAGTATTGCATTGCTTTATATTTTTTAAATGACTCATAATAATTTTAAAGAGCAAAACATTTTTTTAATTCAATATTTTTACTTTATTTAAGGCATTTTTTGCGCAATTTTTGCATTTTTAAGGGCATTTTTTGCCCTTTTTAAGGGCATTTTTTGCACTTTTTAAGGGCATTAGTTGAGAATTTTTAGGTCATCAAAATCCGGGCTCTACTGATCACATTATAACTACCGTGGCTACGTTCCGAAATTCTGAAGCCTTAATCTTCGTAACTTTTTTAGACAAAAAATGTTACTTTTGTTACGGTTCAACTTGAATAAAAATATAATTTATAAATTGAAACCTTATTAAGGTTACAGCAAATTTGTACATTAATTTACAACGTTGAGTAGTGCAGAAATATATGCAGCTCTTATAACAGTACTTGTATATTTATAAAACATTTAATTTAAATGTAATGCTCTTTTCCAATAATTGTAACTTCTCTATTAAAACAAATTGAGTGTTCTGATCAAAAGCGAATGATATCAACTCCTAAAGTAATACATTAATCGAACATTGTTAGCGCTCAAAAGTAATCTTCTGTATAATAAACTCTCCCCAGATCATTAAAGAACAAAATCTCGAAGACATCAAAAGATACGAACATTGTACAGCTCTGAGGTAAAGAGGGGTAAACAACAGTACTCTGCTATCATAATGTTTGTTGCATGAAAACATGGCGGTCTAGTCTGATGTCGAGAGTAGTGTAAATGTTTGGCGCGATTACAGCGAAGTGATTCAATAAACGCTTTT